CTAATGGAAAATCAACTCTAATCTTCATTTTTGTTGGCGCTGTCACACTGCTGTGTAGGGTTTAGTAAAGTCCTCTCCATAACGATAAGTGTATGCGCCCAGCACTAATTTGATCTTTCAATTCTTTGGTTTTTTCGTATAATACTCGTAGAAATCGTTTGAGTTCCGTATTTTGGCCTGTAGAAATTCACCATCCTAGCTCAGCGAGTTGTTTACCGTATAGTCAAAATTAAGACCAAACAATAGTGCGCTAACAAGTGTACTAGTAGGGCTGCTCAGAATTCTACCAAAACTGTCTCCCATATCTGCCAAACATTTCTCTAGAAGAATTCATGGACGTTTCTCCTCTATTAGAAATTTCTTGCATACAAATGCTCGGATGTCCAACTTTAAGCCATAACGCAAAAGTTGAACATTGATGTACTAAAATTGAATAATAACTCTTTGCAATTTTTTTGAAGTTGATATTAGTTTTTTAAAGCAGCCATTGACGTGCTATAGAGGATATTTTCGGCAAAAAAAAACTTCCAAATTTTTAAAAGAGCTGGCTGGGGAAGGCAAATTGCATCAATGTCTATCCTTACTTTATGCGCCATTCGAATAAGTATCCTTCCCTCGTAAAAGACTTACTCGAACATTAATTTGTCTTGACGTTGCATTTCCTCTTATTTCCTTTTTCTCCTCCCCACCCTTTTTTTCTAATACTCTCAATTGTTGTTCTAAATGCTCGCACCTCAAGAACCACAATGTAATCCTCTGCCATATAATGGTTCGGAACTAGCAAGATAATGATTTCAAATCCAGATTTGGTGTGCAGTAACAGCTGAACACTTATAAAAAATTAAAGATAACATAATCAATGATCTAATGTGCAGTAGAAAACAAACATAATCAATGATCTAATGTGCAGTAGAAAACAAGTAAATATAACTTTCATGTTGCTCAGTATTGCAGGTACTACCTTCGTTTTCTGGATCCACATAACGAGAATGCTTTAATCTCACAAGAAGCTGCTGCTAGAATGCCTGTAGACATCTATGTGGGCGGAATCGAACATGGTTTGAACCTTTGCTTTTACCTCATTTCTTTCGCAACTCATCTAAGTGTGTTTCTAGCTGCTGTGCACATGTTTTTTGCGCGGTTCATCTCCTATTTCTTGACTGATATCGGAGTGACAGTGGTGGGTTTTTGTTCTTTTGTCAATGAAGTGAGGAAAGAAAACAGAGAATTTGTATAATTAGTGAAAAAATGAGTGAGCTTGACAGAAACTTCAATAA